TGTTCGTTGTTTACAATTTGGTGGTGGCTTTTTACTGCAATTCTCGCTTGTGACAACGTGTGCACACGTAAGGTAAAGAATAATTTAACACAACGACATGATTTATAGAAGAATTTGCATAATAAAAATGATTATTCATGCATTCAACAATTACGCGGTTTTTTTTTGTTCTCTTCGTTGTTTACTTCTTACAACAAAGATGGCGTCGAGATTTCAACAGCTAGAAAATAACTTTTCTTTCTTTCGGGAAGGCGTGATCTTGTGTCTTTCGTTCATGCTGAAACACGCGATTTACATGATTCAAGTACCAAAGTGCATCAATTACAGGTGATAGCGATAGAAGCTATGCTTCTTCTTATGAGCACGCTTGTGTCAAATTATCGTCTGTTTTGCTATATTTACATATCCGCGTACACATACACATACATGAACCAAAAAGACAAGATCACGACAGCAGAAGAGTGGCCCGTTATAATCGCACTTATGAAAAAAGTAGGGCGATTTTGACATAAGCCGTTTGTTTACATTTGTTCGTTGTTTACAATTTGGTGGTGGCTTTTTACTGCAATTTTCTTAATTTTCGCTTGTGACAACGTGTGCACACATATGGTAAAGAATAATTTAACATAACGACATGATTTATAGGAGAATTTGCATAATAAAAATGATTATTCATGCGTTCAACAATTACGCGTTTTTTTTTGTTCTCTTCGTTGTTTACTTCTTACAACAAAGATGGCGTCGAGATTTCAACAGCTAGAAAATAACTTTTTTCTTTCTTTCCTTAAGGCGTGATCTTGTGTCTTTCGTTCATGACACACATATACGTATATATATACCCTGCAAACAAATGCTCCCGAAATCTTTAAGAGTGTCGGAAATTTGTTACGATTCTTTTAGAAATCTGTAAAGAAAAACATATGAGGCGGTTGATAAGAACTAGTAAAGAAATTTCTGTACGATTTCTTAAAGAAAATTCTTAAAAAAAATTGTGAAACCTTTCAGAATTCTATGAAATCCTGGTATGCAGGGTATACACATGATTCAATAATACAAGGTTCGATAAACTGACAGTTGTCTCTCTCGCACCGCTCCCTTAGCAGTGGCACCGTGTTGCTTCTTTGTAAATTTACATAGAAACAGTGTAGCTTTGGTGTGAAATAGAAGTATAAGCTTTCGTGAAATATGTTTACTTGTATGTGCATATGAAGCATATTAAACTGATGAAAACATAAACTGTTTTTAAATTAGATGTTTACATCAATCTCATAGTAGTCTTATTTTAAGTTTGAGTCATTTTGAAGTTTTTATACTGCTAAATAGCACATAAATTACGTAATTCACGTAGATATATCAATATTACGTTCAACATTTCGTTTAAAATGCCAGATTTCCTGCAAATACATTAGAATTTACAAAAAGAAATTTCACTAATAATTGCCTACTTTGCGTACTTTTCTACTACCATTTTCGCACCAAGAGATGGCATTCTTCCCCTTTCTCCGTCCTTCGTAAATGCAACCTTTTGTAAGGGAGTGTCAAACCGCAGCTGTCAATAATTATCTAACCTTGTATTATTGAATCATGGGGTATACATATACACACGAATATGAATAGATAAAAAAGATGGTGATGACACATGATTCAATAATACAAGGTTAGATAATTATTGACAGCTGCGGTTTGACACTCCCTTACAAAAGGTTGCATTTACGAAGGACAGAGAAAGGGCAAGAATGCAATCCCTTGTTGCGAAAATGGTAGTAGAAAAGTACGCAAAGTAGGCAATTAGTAGTGAAATTCCTTTTGTATATTCTAATGTATTTGCAGGAAATCTGGCATTTTAAACGAAATGTTGAACGTAATATGGATATATCTACGTGTATTACGTAATTTATATGCTATTTAGCCGTATAAAAACTGCAAAATGACTCAAAATTAAAATAAGACTACTATGAATTGATGTAAACATCCAATGCTTATGTTTTCATCATTTAAATATGCTTCATATGCATATACAAATAAACATATTGCACAAAAGCTTATACTTTTATTTCACACCAAAGCTACACTGTTTCCA